AAAAGTTCATAATCTCTCCGTGCCTCAATTTCCTCAGTTTTAAAATGAAGATCATAGTAACACCAAACTCACAGACGTGTTATAAGTATTAAATGAGTTAATATTTGCAAACTTCTTAGAAGAGTGCCTGCCATATCCTGAGCGCTGTGTGTGTTTGTTATATAAAACAAATCTGCTTTGGTGCAGAGATTAAGAGACAATCTGAAGGAAAGAAGAGGTTGGGGCACTAGGGAGATGCTAGAGGAAGGCTACCCATAAGGGAACTGGGGAAGGGTGTCCTGTTGCTTAGCAGACCAGACCCACCCTATGCTTCTTCAGGATTTTTCTAGTAAGCATTTCTTGTTTTTGTTTTTTTGACAGTAGCTAAACTTCTCCCTTTTTCCATCCACTGGCTCCAGCACTAACCGTGTGTGTGTGTGTGTGTGTGTGTGTGTGTGTGTGTGTGTGTGAGTGTGTGTGTGATACTTCCTGTACACTACGGGCCCAGGAAGGTGATCAGAGGCCGCCTGACCATGTGGCATCCCCACAAAGAGCTGGCTGTAACTGGTTGAAGTCAAAGAGTGGTTATAACTGGTCAACTCCAGTGAGGAGACGTGGAGGGCAAAGAGGAAGCAAAGATTGGGCAGCAGAACTATTGGGTCATTCTCTGCTTTGATAGAGAGGCTTTGTTTATAAGACTTTCCAAGAAAAGGGAATTTACCACCCCTATAGAACAGAATTCTATTTTCCTCTGAAGTGTTTACTTTATATCATCTTGAGTCCTGAGTTGTGGTTGTTATTTGTTTTGGCAGTGCTGGGGATTGAATCTAGGGCCTCACACATGTTAAGCAGGAACTTTACCACGGTGCCACATGCTGTACCCCAGATAGACTCTACATCATCTTTATTGAGATTTAGGTTTATTTGAGTCAGTTTCTTCAACACAAATAGGAATACACACAAAATATGGAGACAGAGATGGGGTATGAGCAGCCATTTTTGCCCTCTATTAGCATACATTTGAACATTGAGATATAAAAGACAATGTGGGCACCTAGACATTTTCTCCTTCAGGTTTTCCAACTGAATGCTCATTTTTTCCTGGTTCCATATTGATGAGCCTAGTTGGCTGTAAGCGTTCAGATTCGTCCCTCTCCAACATCCAAGTTAGTTTAATTCAGGTGTCCTTGAGTAGCCTTTGTGGTATGGCACTACCCTCATGGCTCCTATTGGAAGACTCTCCTTTTGTATTGTTGGCGACCAGCTGGATCTCTAGGGCTCTATTCTTTCCTACCAGGGTCTTGTGTTATCACCAAAAAGCAGATGTCAGTTTCTACCTGGAAATTGAATTTTTCAGCTGATGGTTGCTATCTATATTTCTCCATACATAATATATTTCCATTCTATAACTGGGTTTCTGCTTTTGAGCCCTTTCTCAGTGTCCGTGGTGGTCATCTGCTCAAGTCTCTTCCTAGAACTGAGGTCTTGTATTCACCTTGAAGGAGACTCTGCCAGGACATTAGACCAGTGGCAGTTGTCTCTCTCTCTCTCTCTCTCTTCCAGCACCCTTCTGCAGGACTGCATCCTGCCTCAGACCTCTAGGATGACAGTGGGGTCAGGGAATGCCTACACACATGTCCAGGTTGGTCCCTGCCCTTCTTGGGATTTTAAGGTTCATCTAGACTGTCACATGATATGCTCTGTGCCCAACAGGACATCAAGACCATGTTGACATTAGACTTTTGCTTGTTTTACAGAAGCTAATTCAACTCAACTGAAATCATAGGGAAGTGAATGGTCCTTGAATCACGGCTAGAGAGATGGCTATTTCCTTGGATATTCTCCCTTACTGGCCTGTCTATACTTCTATTATTGGTGAAGGTCTGCCCACTAGCTCCATATCCCTCTATAATGGGAAAAGAAACAAGTGCAGCTTCTACCGGAATAATCCTATCTTGTTAGGAATAAATAAATCATCACTTTCCCTGACAAATTTCTAAGTATGTTAATCATCCATAGTGGATTTAATATTTTACTCCACATCAGCATGAAGGTGAGTGGAGGCAGCATGACTCTGTGGTTAAATTTGAAGACAGTGGAGTTTAAGTCCTACTTCCTCTACTTCTTGGTTAAATGACATCTGACTTACTGTGTGTCAATATTCACATTTGGAAATGGGTATATTAGTATTATCCATCTCATGGGGAATTATGAGGGTTAAACAAAATTATAACTGTAGACCACTCAGTATTGTGTCAGACATGTGGTGATTGCTCCACACATACTTGGTTATCACTGTTATTGATGGAAGATAGGCGAAAGGAGCAAAATAAGGCGTTAAATAAATGCTAGAAGTGATAGGAGAGTAGAGAATTAAAAGAGCATGATACAGAACACAGAGGAAATGCATAAGGTGCAAAAGTGGTCAGCTTTGTGATCTTGTACCCCAAAGTAGGAGTGGCTGGTGGGATACAGTCAAAGTCATGATGAGAAAGTCAGGATCAAAGCATATGATGGTGAGTCTTGATTCTTTGAGAAAATTTTTCCAACATGGAGCAGTCATGCATTCACACACCCAGACTTCCCTTGTTTCAGTGACTGTGGGAAGCAAGGGGGGATTTCTGCCTTCATCTTTTCATAGCTTCTCAGCTCTTTCAACTGTGCATTCTAGGGAAGTGCATAAGATCAGTGCTGACTCCTAACCAAATAGCAAATATAAGGGACCATCTCTCTCAAAAACAGCAGCCGGAGGAATTTAGGGTATGTTTTTGTACTCAAGAAATGTTTGGGGAGTAATCTCAACAGGCAAATACATCCATATAATAAAGAGAAATGGTATGTGGAAGCACTTTTCTTCTGTAAAAATAAACTTCCAGTCTATTTCAGGAGTCCCTGACAAAATGAATACTTTACTTCTGCTTTTCTTCTCAGAACACTAGAAACCCACCCCTTAGCCCAAATCCTACTGCCTTCTTGTCTACGCATGTTCCTTGGACCACTCCCAAAAGAGGATGCCTGCCCAGAAGCTCTGTGCAATGAAGTCAAGGCCCTGCTTAGTAATGCATGAAAACCAAGTATGAAAAGCAACAATAAATTTAGCTAATACGTCATCACTTGTATATTCAGGTAGTACGCTTACTGTTGTATGCATTAACATTCAGATTCTGAAAATAATCCTACTGTGTTAGTAGTTCCCTATTTTGAAGTGAAAGAAACAAAGTGGTTAAATAACTTCCTTAGGATTGCAAAGTTAAGGGGTGGCTGATTCACTACTAGCTGATTTGACAGCCTCAACCTCAGTTTCAGTAGCTGGAAAAAGCATATCCTAGAGCTGTCTGTTATGTTAGCAGATTTAGCCCTTTGAAGACCAAAAAGGAGTTGAAAAGAGTGAGGTCAAACACTGCGCTGCATTGCTGTTGTTTTAGCTGTCACAGGAGAGACAAGAAGCAAATATTTGATACTGGAGGAGAACTGGCAGGAAATGAGGGAACACTTCTCCTAGATATGAGGCAGTCTTTTGGTAACACAAGTAAGTCAGATGTCACTTAGAAACAAAACTGCATTACAGAAAGATGTCGCTCAGTGCCAGCATACTACCCTGGCCCTGTTTTGGGATCCTGCTGGGGACACAGTGAAAATAAAGTGAAAGATGACATTTAAAAAAAACCCAGTTATTGAGAAGGTCAGGTGGAGCATAAAGAGCTATAGCTTTGGGATTAGAAGAATTAGTGTCCATTTCCAGCTCTATCAGTTTTCAGTAGGGGAGCTTCAGGCGAATTGCTATGCCTCTGAATCAGTCTCTTCCTCCCCTTCTTCCTCTGACATAATGGAATTAATAATAACCTTTCACCAATTTCAATGATTTTAGTATGGGTAACATAAAAGTAGGCATGTAAATTGTAGAATGCTTTGTAAATTAAGTGCTTTAAATAGCTCACTGTCTATCCCTTCTCTGGAAGATTAGGATTGTTCCTAGAGCTAACTCTTTTCACTGCTTACTTTGCATTTTCTGTTTCCCATGCTAGGGTGACCAGCAGCGACTGCAAACACTTGGCCTGCCTAATGTTGCGGTGTTCATGAAGCTCAAATTAAATGGGACACAGCCATATACGGTCAAATCAACTAAAGATTCTACCTTTTCAGAAAGTCCTAATCCACTAGGTTACCCAGGTTCTAAGTACAATAATGCCAGGAGTTTGTACATATTCAGAGCATATAACAGATATTAGAACTAGATTTTGAAATTCCAAAGAGCACATTATATGTAAACAAGAAAACTTTGAATTTACAATGATAATGTGTGGAATGTCAAAGTACTCTTAGGCCCATGTTAGTGTTATCTAGTTTTCATTGCACTAATAACAATCAATATTAATTCTTTTATAACTTACTACTAAGCCTTAAATAAGAAAAACAGTGTTTTTAATTTAAGTTATCCACTTCTTTTTTCAGACTTATTTGTAAATAAGAGATAATCATCTTTTCCCCATTTATTTTAATTTTGGGGATACTAAGAAGGGTAATGATGCTGAATGTGCTTTGAAAATAAAAAGAGCTTATAGAGTAGAGGTTTTCACAGTGGTTGTAAGGAGTTATGCATTATTCTAATCTGAGAAAGCAGTGGTATATCATTAGGAAGGTCTGTCTCAAAAATCACATAACACATTCTAGCATCAGAAAGAAATTGCTTTTAATTCATTCAAGGTTGTGGATAATCTGCCTTTTTGCTAGGCTTTGCAGGTGAGTTTATCAAGTGCTGGCTCTTCTGAGAAAAGGGATTTTCCTCATATCTTTGGAGACAGCACAGACGAAATTCAGAATTATTAACCTCAAAGCTTAGAAACTCTTAGGTTTGGATCCTAAGTCCCTCCCCCAAAAGTTGGATCCATTTTGAGCAGGATAGTACGAAGACCCAAGGTGTTCTGTTGAAAACAGATTAAAGGGATATTTTAAGGTCTTCCTTAAGGGTCATTTCTAAAATTTTATGGGAAATGAGGGGCTCAGCAGGGGTCAGAACTCACATGTTTGCAGGCACAAGAGCAAGATCCACAGTTGGTGCTGAGCCATCTTCTTCCGGAGTCTGATCTGTGGGCAAGTACAGTACTCTTAGCCATTTAGGTTTTCTTGCTTCTTTTTATAGCTGTACTCAAGAAAGGAAGTGTGAGCCAACTGACTTAGGAAGTTTTGGTCTTTGTACACACGCTAGTATTTTCCAATAATACAATTAATACAAAGTGTGGGGAGGTGGGAAGACAGAAAGAATGTCAAGGGAAGGGAAAAGTATCACGATTCAATTTGTTTATGTACCAATTTCCCACAGTAAATTTATTTAATATGTATTTTACATGTATTAATAAAATTTTAAAAAATAATATAAAATGCCTAGCACTAATTTTTTGTTCAGTAAACATTTACTGAGCACCTACGTCTGGAATATGTCTGGAATAATTCCAGGTGCTGGCATTATCAAGAGTAATAGAATAATTAATACCCTCTTTTCATGGAGTTTACTCTTTTTGGAGTAGTCAACAGTTACACAGGAAATTCTGAGAAAATGGTATAAGTGTTACTGTAGGAAGAAATGCAGGCAACGCTCAGAGCAGGCATAGCTAACCCAGGCTACAGTCAGATGGAGAAAGCTAACTAAAGAAACTGACACCCAAGCCCAAATAGGCCCGCAGAGTGAGTTAGCATTACTAGGCAGTAGATGGTGGGTATAGGGGAGAGGAATGTCTTGACACATGCTAGGACTTTATAGATGGTAGCAATTAATTTTATATAATTATAGTGCTATAAAATAATAGAATTACATAATTACATAAATACAAGCTGTGATAGAAATAAGCAACTGTTAACAGGCCACTCAGATTCCTGTGCTTAGGTTCATTTGCTTGCCTCTGACCAATCCAAAGGAGGCCATATATTTTGGTAAAAGAGAAACAAAGGTTTATACAAAGTTACCTCAGAGGAGGTAGAGGGGCCTATTTGCCTCAAATCACCATCTCATGGTGTACAGGGGGACAAGGGCATTTTATAGGAAGGAACAGGTGGGAGGGACTGCAGTGGAATAATAGATGTGTGCAGGCTAATTCCATGCCTTCTTGGACTGGACTTCCCTCTCCCTGCCTAAGGAAATGACCTCTTGGGGCCAGCATTGGCATATTCTGTCTATTGCTCTGGGCTGAGGAGAGGTGGGGTGACTGCTTATGCCCTAGATCCAAGCAAGTCTGGAGAACTCACTTGTCTCCAAAGGAAAAAATCCCCTAACTTTTAAAGTTTCATTTAGCAGTGACAGTTCCCCTTGCTTATTTCAGCCATCGGTCTTGAGGGTCTTGTGGTCTCATATCCTCTGACTGGCTGACACATTAGTTTGTCACACAGATTGCATCAGAGGTAGCAGGAGCACAAGCAAAGGAAAGCCAGGGGTTTGTAACATAGATGGTGCACTGGCTGTGGAGCTGCTCCCCTCCACTTGCTGTGAATTACTGCCCTCCACTCACCTGAACCTGGGCAGTGCCCCAGGGCCAACCCTCCCTTCCCTAGTTTGTCCTAAGGCTTATTACTAGAGTCAGAGGTAAGAAAAATAAAGACCCCTGAGCCTGCCCTGGAAAATTCCAACATCTCAGACCAGGAGGCCTGTGTAGCAAATCTTCCTGCAGGGTCTACGATAACCTCTCTTCACCTGGAGCTCACTTAAAGTTCATGAATATGGAGTGCATCTCACACATCCAACTGTAACAGACTGAATTATGGGAAGGGACATGTGCAATAGACAGAGCTGACTTGAGCCAACACCCTGTCAGTCATACTCTGGAACACCAGGCGCAGCATTTTAAATCCTGAAACCCAACACCTGCAGCACTTGGCCATAAGCCCACTCACTTGGAGAATACTGTTGCCTAATTAAGCTCTGCTGCTGTTTCCTTACTATCAGGTGCCACATCCAATTCTTGTCTTGCACAAGAACCTAGGAACCCATCTGGAACTCCATCACCCACAGTAACACTTGAGCTTGATAAAGTTTCATTAAAAATTGTGAAATCAAATTTTAAAAAGACAGAATCGGGAGATATCTAACCATTACACCTGCTAGAAGGGCCTTTTTTTGCTTTTAGGTAGTCATGCCTAGGATCCCTCTTTCATGACCCGTGAAGCTCTATTTATTTTGGTAGGGTTGACACATAGGTGACTCTCTGATGCTCAAAAATTTCCCCCTGTGTCTCCAAATACTTTTTCTTCTTTTCTGAAGGCATTACCAATTAACCATCTGTAGTCCTGTCCCTCAGTACTGAGATAGCTTTCCTTGCTGATGGTCATTCAGAACTATGTCCCACAGTAGTGGGAACATGACAGGGGACTGGAGTCAGTGCCATAAAACCTTCTTGCCAAATATGAGCAATGTCTGAGATTTAGACATTACTGTCAAGTTAGTATATAGTCTATTTTAGAGAACCCCCAATGTATAACTAAAAAGAATGTGTATTCTGATGCTACGGAGTGGAACACTCTATAGAAATCTACTAAGTCCATTTGTTCAAAAGCCTGGTTCAGTTCTAAGATTTCATTGTTTATGTTTGTCTAGTTGATCTGTCTTTTGTATCGAGATCCCCCGATACAATTGTATTAGTGCTTATTTGATTTTTCATGTCCATTAATATTTGTTTTATATAATTGACTGCACTGGTATTTGGTGCATACATATTTATGATTGTTATCTCTTCCTCTTGAATTGTTTCCTTTACAAGGATATAATGACATTTTTGTCTCTTTTAATTAGTCTTGACTTGAAATTCAATTTGTCTGCTAATGGAATAGCTAATTTCACTTTTTTTTGAGTTTCTGTCACATGGAGTATTGTTTTCCAACCTTTGACTTTCAGTATATGAATTTCTTTTTGAATTAAATGTGTTTCTTATGTGCAGTATACTGTTGAATCTTGCTTCTTGATTCATTCTTCTGGTCTGCTTCTTCTGATTGGTGAATTGAGATCATTAACATTGATGGTTATAACTGATATGTATTGACTTATTCTTGTCATGTTATTTTCCTGTTGTTTGCTGCCCCCTTTCTTCCCCCTCTGTTTGATTGTTTGCCTTCCCTTGTGGATTCCTTCTTTTGGGGTTCATGTAGTTGTAGTCCTTCTTATCTCTTTCAGGAATGTTGCTCAAAACATTTTGGAGTGCTGGTTTTGTGGTCATAAATTTCCTTAGATATTCTTTGTCATGGAAGTATTTTATTTCTCCATTGGTTTTGAAAGATAGTTTTACAGGGTACATCAATATGGGTTGAGGTTTGTTTTCCTTTAGACCTTGAAGTGCTTCACTCCAAGCTCTCCTTGACTTGAAGGTTTGTGCTGAGAAGTCAGCTGTGATTCTGATGGACTTTTCTTTATAGGTGATTTTTTCCTTTTCTCTAACAGCTTTTAAGATTCTATTCTTGTGTTGTATTTCTGGAATCTTGACTATGATAAGTCTGGTTTAGAGGGTTTTTTTATCATGGCTAATTGGAATTCCGTATGCCTCACTCACTGTACATCAAATTCTTTTTTCCTGTTGTTTGCTCCCCCCTTTCTTCCCCCTCTGTTTAATTGTTTATCACACATGATATCTGTGAAGTTTTTAAGATCATTTTTGCTGTCTCCTGCTTTTTCATCGAATCCAATCAAGCTTAAATTACTCTTCTTTACCTCATCTGGCCATTGTTGGATTGATTTCTCATGGTCCCTTGCTATTTTTAAGAAATCTGTCTTTTCATGATCACTAACAACAAACCTGTCTTCTATATCTGAGATCCAGTCCTCACATTGGCTTGTCCTGCTGTGCACATCTTCAGTGGAATTTTTATTCTCTGGGATATCTACTTGAATCTGCCTTATGAATTCCATTTCTTTCCTATGCTGAGCATTCATAGCTTCCAAAATTTTCTTAAGCTTCTCTATTTTTTTATCTGTATCTGCTCTAGGGTCACTAAGTACAGTTTTAATTGTATACACCATGTCTGCAGTTATCTGAGAAATTACATCTGATTTGATTTTTTCTAGAGCTTCATTCCATTGCTTTGTTGTTACCACTTCAGAGAGGTCAGGTGAGTGCCTTACAGATTGTCCCACCTCATTGCTCCCTGTGTTTTCCTTTGGGGAACTGGATGTCTGGGGTTTCATCTTGTTTAAGTGTCTTTTTATTTTATTTTTCTTTTTTTTAGTTTAATTCTTGGGATGATGCTTGCAAATTGCCTATGTTGGGTGCTTTATTTCTAGTATTTAGAACCTTAAGAAATGACTACTTCTCTGAGGTATCTTCTAAGTGTAGCTGGTTTTTGGGTTTTGAGTATCTTGCAAGATTTTACCCTTCAATTTGTTGGGGATGACAAGTTGTTGCTTGCTTGGCCCAGCCCCTGGTTCTTTGGCACTGTGCCACAGTACTATCTATATTCCTTAGTCAATCTCATTCTTGCAGTACCCAGAAGAATAGCTGTTTAGAGCAATTATGTAACTTTTGCCTAAAGTGATATCATTAGTAATAACAACAGCATCAAACATAGCCCAAGAAATGGCAAACTGTGGTACCCATTAATTTGCCACCTTTAACTATATGAATTAGTTCTGTGGTTATAAAACAAAATCTGAAACAAAGAAGAAAATTATATGCAGTATATAAATCTTTTGTCAAGTTTCCTTCAAGGGTTAAAATTTAAAAGGGGTTAGAGAGAAAAAAAGGAGTATAAGAAGAGTAAGAGATTAGAATTAAGGCTGGAGGACAAAAGGGAATCATGCTAACTTTGGGAAACTAGTGCAGAAGACTGGAGGAAAAGAGAGAGGAAGAGATAAAAAGGACAGAACAGAGCAACAACCACAAAGAGGCTAGAAACCATGTTCACAGTCATATAGAAGCAAGATCAACCAATGAAGGAGAGAAAACAAACACAATACACAAAAAAAGCAAAAACCAAAAAATAAAACCACAACCACAATAAAAAAACAAAACAAAACAAAACAAAACAAAACAAAACAGAGAGAGAGGGGGAAAGAAAAAAAATCCACTTCCAGCTTTGTCTCTACTGTCATGGTAGACAACATGTGGAGACAGAGTCCAAGCTGTGTTGATTTATCCAAGCAAGCCAGCAGTAGCTTTTTGGTGGGATAGTGGATAA